AGTGAAATTAAAAATAATTGTGTGTGTGACGCTTAGAGGATGGAAAAAAAATAAAAGAAAGGAGCTGCCTTAACTACGGAATGAACGTGCATACCTAGACAAAAATTGAACGAACAAATGGCGGATTTCTTTAGTGTTGTACCATAATCTATCGATAAGTCGTTATCGACGTGCAATCATTTAATTAAAGTAGACCAATATTCCATTTGGGAATATTTTAGGTTATATGGGAATATCCAGGAATGTCACATGAAATTTTGAATTTATTGTTTTGCGTTTACAAATACTCAAATATTACGAAAAGTGAATTTGCACAGAAAAAAAATTATATTTGTAATTTGTGAGTATATAACAAAGACAAAACTTTGAAATATAAATCCTATACATTTTCAACCTCAAGATTCATATTTTCATAGAGAAATTTTTAAACAAATTCCAAATAATGTAAACTTTTTTGTATTTATGCATTGGTATAGAATTATAATTGGCCGAGCGCCTTTGATTTATGCAGAAAAATCGACACTTCTCCGAAATGAGACAAGTAGTCACGAGCGACTGCGAGTTGTGACAAGACACGTCAAACGAGCTCTATACACATTAGCGCTCGCTTTCACTCTGACAGCTAGGCGAGTGACACTGAAGGATGGCAAGGCAAGGCAAGGCAAATAGCCTGTCTATACGTTGGTATTGGCCTTCACCCGGCAACGTTAGACCAACATCGTCATTGTAAAGCTGGCATTATAAAATAAGAATTTTTAGTAGTTAGAGTTGTCAGTGGGGAAAAAAACCGGAAACGAGTGGATAATTTTGTTTTCAGGCACTAAGATTGTGCAATTGAGTCTTGTTTAATCTAAATGAAATATAAAATTATTTACCAATAAACCTAATGATGGAATTGCATTGTCATGTAATGTTAGTTACATTCAAAGTTATGTTAAAATTTGACTCTTCAAAATGAAGCGAATAAATAAAGATGGTTTTTGATTCAATGTTTATATTCGGCACTATTTTACGGCAGTATGATTTCCAACCATTCTTTTTTCTTTTTTGATTTGTAGGCAAACTTGAAATAGTAAAAATAATAATAATAAAAACCTAATAGTGAATTATTTTAATAATAGAATATCGATAATATGTACGCTTCCAAGAACAACACTATCTCAAAATAATCGTTAACAACAATCATCAAAATATACAAACAAACAGACAATCTGAAGAAACCAAAGCAAAATTTGGCAACATTTATGAATAAACTTTCTTAAATATGTCTAATTACATGAAATATTGGGTTTTTGTGTGATTTATAGACAGAAAAATAACACGTGCCTTTACAATGTTACATTCGGTCGAACTTCGCTTTTTCAAATGCCACATCCCGTAATGCTGCAGCGACGAATTTCCATTAATACTTAATTGTACTCACTGTCAATATGTTTGTTTCAATATTCTTGTTGTTATTACAATTCATGCGAATAATACAATAAAATACTTGGAAAAACATTTGTTTTGACATTTGATGTACTTCCCTTTGACAACCGTATCATGTACCTCATGTACTGCTAAAATGGACACGTTTGGCATTTGAGATGACGTTACGTATTTTCGATTCCCATGTTTGACACAGACCAATGTAATGCTATCTCTTTTGGCTTAAGACGGCACGTAATAGTTAAACAAAGACAATAACATGTTTATGTTTTCGACGTCGAAATGCATCTTCAACATATAACGTCTGATTTATATTGTCAACATAACATGTCCTTTAGTTTCCATACTCTAAGGTGTGACGTTATATTCGAACTGAAAACTGAAAAATCAGCATCCGCGACATCGCATCATTTTTAAATTAAATATCCCGCATCTTCGCCCGGCATTGAGCCGCGTACGCAAGCTTTTACATGGTGGCGTTATTGGTGGTCGGCCGCAAGTGAAAGGGTGAAAGTAGACAAGCTCCACGACGTTTCGGACATAAAGGTTGGTGGTAGCACGGGTTCCATTCCTTTTTCGCAAGTAAACTCCTCTCTCCTCGCTCACCGTTTCCAGCAGCTCCCCACGAGCTATCGAAGGTCTATTTTAATTTTCTTTATTATAGTATTACCAATAGCAAAGCTCAAGTTAAACTGGACGATTTGAAGTGAAACGAGAGCTGGCCAATCGGAGCGCACTGTTGTCTCCCTAATGATTTGGCAGAATAGTTTTCAAACAAATTAAGTGACATTTCGTATCTATTTCTGGTTATATACTCGATGGGTGGAGAAAATGAAACAGAAATGCACCTGGTGGTAAGTGACACGCCCACCTATAACGCTTGCTGTGCCACTCAGAGTTTTATTATTTTTTTTTAGAATACGAAATGACGGGACGAACAAGTGTGCGCCTGATGGCAAACGACACGCCTGTCCATAACAGTTGCAGCGCCAATCAGAGCCTTAAAACACAAAGTTCTAAGTGGCACTGCCATTGCACCTGTAAAGTCACCAGCATCCTAACGTTTCAAAACCGGAGCAGCTTGGCAGTAGAATTTCTACTACTTAATAGGTAAGGTGGCAGTACTTCCCTGGACAACCTCTATTGCTACTATGCTGTTTTGCTGGTTAAATGTCTGGCAGTGTACTACAGGCCAATGTGTACTAGACATTAAGTAGGCACCTAATAAGCTATTATAAAAAAAACATGACACAAGAGGGGCGAATTGCAGGGCGAAGTGATGCCAGCATAAAAAATAACGAGCACCAACCCCCAAAAAGGTTTTTATGTGGCAATTATCATATTTTCCGCGCCAATTACCGTTTAGGAGCTGTTTAGCATTTTTTGATGCGAAGCAGGAAATTTTATACAACCTTAATGTTTCCTATGTGTGTATTTCTTAACCTAAAGTCGATCTTATAGCTCTAATTTGATACCTACATATATTTAGTAAAATAATTTGGTCGGTTATTTTACTTTTTCTCACAATCATGGGGTTCTCGATTCGACTGTACTTTCGTTGGTCCAGGTGAACAGGGAATTATCAAAAACGCAAATTTTTTAGGAGAGCTATTTTAAAATTTCTTCTGGCATTATTTCATCCGCTGTCGTTATTTCGTTCTCCTCACCTACTATAATAACCCTTTTGAATATAAAATATTTGTGATTCAGAGTTTTAACTAAACTATTCATTTTTATTACTTTAAATGAAAGAAGGAATAACATTTAATTCGATAAAACTTTGAAAAACATCGTAGTATTTAAAAAAATACTCTATGCTCTAGATTAGCATAACAATTCGATGAAAAATATATCCTAAAAAAGGTATAACCTTGAAATAATCGCCTTCGTTTCAGAAATAAATATTTTTAAAATACACTTCCCTTTTAATGAACCCATGCTGTGATTCAGTTTTAATACCCTGTTCAACGAACGACGACGTCTTGACTACAGCTTCGTGTGTAAATACTAAATACGACTGTGTTGCCTCTGTGTTTGGAGCCAAAACGTGCAAAAAGTTCAAAGATACCATATCTTTCGCGCTATTTCACGTCCGATCATTGTAAGACCTTGTTCATTAGAAAGATCTCGATTTTTTTAATACGACTGCATTTAAAAGTAAAAATTCCAAATTTTTTTATTGATACCATATTCATCCAAGGCGACGTTTGTGAACCGTTTGCTATGATTATTTTTTTGTTGGTGTACTTCAGTAGTTAACCATTTAAATTTAGAATAGAATAGAATCCATTTATTACATTCTTTCATTTCCTTTAACTTTAACTTTAACTTGAACTTTCCATTAACCGGTTTCAATAACACTTGGCAAATAGATGTAATTCCACAAATTTTTGAGGCTTTTTTTGTACAATGAACTTAATTAGTTATTTATTTATTCTAGAACTAACATTGACTTACAATTATATGGACGTCGGGTCCGCGCTAAAAAGTGTCCGAACTTATAGGGCGTTAAAATCGTATACACATCGTCATTCACGCTTTAGTCTTCGTTTGTTCGACTGACAGCGAAGCAAGCAAAGTTAGACAGTACTGCGATGACATTACAATTTAAATTCAACGTTTTAGCTTTTTCATATTCCTTTACATGTCACTACGTTTAAATAGGATGACTTGGGACATTTTTTTCGTGGTTTTTGTATTAGACCCGTCGTCCATTTATTTATTAGTAATATTAGAGCTCCTTGTGAAAGAGTTCGTCCTAGGAAGTACGGCCTTATCTATTTCTGTCGTCAAGCATTAATGTGAGCATTACCATGTTTCGGTTTTGAAGGGTGGCATTGAGACTTATCAACTTATGTCTCAGGGTGACGGGCGCAGTGGCAGTGCCCGTCAGATCTGAGAGACATAAGTTGACAAGTTTTATGTGAGTGTAATTTCACCAGCAACCTTAGTCTTCCAAAGCGGCAGAAATAGGTGAGGTGACAATACATCCCTGGACGTACAAGGAGCTCTATAGCTACTAAACGAAAAAGATATGCCATATTTGTTAACCGACTTCAAAAAAGGAGGAGGTTCTCAATTCGACTGTATGTTCTTTTTTTTTGTTTTTGTTTTTTTTTTTGTATGTATGTTACGCGATAACTCCGGTATTTGTGAACCGATTTTCATGATTCTTTTTTTGTTGGAAAGGGGGTATTTCCATAGTGATCCCATTTCATTTTGAAGAAAATCATCCATCTCAAAGGGTGGCTGTTCACACATGAAGAGTCATTTTTATAAATAGCGCCTAAATTTTATTATAAGGAGCAATTATTTTAATGGTTGATTTTGCTATTCTCCAATTTAAGGCATTTTTCTTTCAATATTCTTTAAGTAGTGAGAACCGATTTTTATTATCTCCTGTGTCAAGTCCTGTATAGTGGCGAACTAGGGGATATTTCAATAAAACTTAGCAAATAAACGTAATTGCACGTACTTTTGAGGTCGGTTTTTTTAGTACTCTTTACTGAGATTATCTAAATTATACTATGCTATTTGTCCAGTGGGGGTTCTGGAAGTGGTGTGATACCAACCTGTGGGCCCACATCGGTGATCTGCAGATTATAGCCGTCGACGAGCCGGAATCGCTCGTCTCTCGTTACCATCAAGCTGGCAGCTGTTAGAACTGCTGGACCGCGCCGCCATAGCAGCACTAGAGACCCTGTAAGTGGTAATATTCATTATTATCATTTATGAATATAGGATGAACAATGTGATAAAACATTTAATATTTTTTTAAAGCAACAGCCTCCTTTTTAGTCGCAGTAGAGCCTTTCGTGAAAGATTTCGTAAAACAGTAATGTCAGCATTACTGTGTTTGAAGGGATTCATTCAAAATGAAAATTTAGATTTTAAAATAAATTATGCATATTCTGATTACAAAATTACATAGCTGTGGAATGAAACTTCCCTGTATATTCATCTATTCATAGCTGTGGTAGTTTTGCAATTTCTAATGGCGAAATTGGGCATTTTTCGCGTTTTCTATTGATGTGTGACTACGATAACGGCCGGGCGCGTTCTGGGGCGTAGCACCGGCAACTAAGCGTTTATAGCTTACATTGGGCACGCGAAGTACACTTGCGGTATCTATTTAGATATTATGTCTACCCTGAATTCGAGGTCAATGAAACTGCAGCTTAAAACTTACCGAGGTTCTGAACTTGACAGGGCAGCAGCAAGGTGTCGCCCACAACAGTCCGGAAGGAATGCCCTCTTGACAGGAACCGAGGGCCGTCGTCTGCGAACACAGAGTCTAAGTTTACACTTTAGAAGTAGTTCTTGGCCACTAAGTTTGTCGCCGAGCGGAAATTTGGACGTTTCGGGAAAGTTGTGTTGTGACTGAAGTCTACGACTCTAGTTATTTGTTATGCAAGGCTGCAAAGTTTTTTGACGCGAATGCTTGTATTGAAACCTAAGAAAGCGAAGGATGCTAAGATTAAAAATACAATCCTGAGCGTAGCGAGAGTTTCTAGGCACGAGACGCAAAACAACTTTGCTGCCGAGCGAAACACACAACTTTTCACCTCATTATAGCGAGGGAAATGGTAGATGAAAGAAAAACACTTAAGCTGTAACAAAATAATTTAATAAACAAACTTAATGTCAACAATAATAAGAATAAAATATACCAACGGATTTATATTACATAAATAATGTACGACAAATTGCGTAGTTGAACGTGTCAGTATGTTTTTTTTATGACAAGAAAAAGTTAGGTGCACCACAGTAGTAACTTGACGATGAGTTAGAATTTCAAAAATTCTGTTGCGCGCAGGTTTCTAATTAGAAAGAAAGCCTTTCCGAGCTTGTGAAAAGTTATTTGTCGAGTCGAACGACTTGTTTGATGACCGCAAATATTACAGATGATTCCCTTAATCTCTTCCTCACAAAATTTTACATTGGACAGCGAAAATTCACTACCGACTTCCTAAAGAACTTGAACAATAAATTGCGATAAAGTTTTTAAATATATACCTTCAACTTCGGACAATCTATGGACAATAGTCAGTGGAGAAGAATAAGTTATGGGACTTGCAGATTTCGTAAAGCGTTGGCTCTTGTCCAAATATTGAAAAAAACATTGGGTATGCTCCTTTTGGGGCAATCAGTTAAAAAGCAAATACGACGGCGACTGTACATCATCGCACGCCCGTAATACTATGTATCAAACGTGTAGAATTCACCAATAAAGTCCCGACAGACTGCTAAAGCGGGTGTATGGGCCAGCTTACTCCAAACATGGATTGTGGTGATAGAATGCAGAGAAAGACGCAAAAATGTTAAAAGTATTATTGGTATAAAATAAAGGTGTTACGGTGGCCAATCTATCCTTGATGTAGTGTATCGGTGGACAGTCAAAGTCAAAGTCAAACAATCATTTATTCCATAAGTAACATTTTTATACCTGGAAAACGTCATTTTTTTAAGCTACTGCTCGTTCACTGTGCCGACTTCCCTGAGAAGAACGAGCAAGAAACTCTAGGCATTGTTCTGTAAAATATATTTTAAATCATATTTGTGTGGAATCTAGACTCACGTCGTCTTTCCATACATCTTTATTTAACACGTAGACTACAATTTTGTAATATGACTTTTCTATTAAAATACTTTTAATGTAAGTTTTAAACTTAGGAAATGGTGATCTTAATATGACATTGTTTTCAGTATCATTTTGTTGCTCTAATTAATTTTATAAATATGAAAATAATTATCAAGGTACCATGATAATTGTCGTGATAATTAAAAATCAACAAATTTCTGCTAGTTGTTTAAACAATAACTCCTCTGCTTGGGTAATAATTTATTGTGGAATATGTTACGAAATCTTTTCCTGTAAAGATTCATTTACTGTTTGAGCCCCAAAAGTGTCTTTGACAGAGAAATTTAAACGAATTAACATTTTTTAGTTACCTCTCGTCTTGTCACACACCAATGTTTATTCTACGGAAAACAAAATCAACAATCTCGCCCGAATATTGCAAGTATGTATTTTGCACACTATCTACTCTTGCATAACAAACTAACTTCGTAATATTGTTCGTGGGAATGTTTAAAATCTTTGAAATTGTAATGCATTTTGGCAGTTTTAAAATGTACCAATAGAATAACATAATATTCGCATTGATAAAGTTCAATATTCATAGTAAAGCAGAGTAATAATATTATGTTACATTTTAAAGTAAATAAAATAACTTTTTCCACGAAAAATAGTGTAAACACTACAAGCGTACACCCTCACTTGTACACACTCATCGCCCCGCATTATGGAAACCATGTATCGCGGGTGTCATGGACACATACATAGGCAACTACAAATTTTTGGTTCTGGTCGGGGTATTCTGAGCATTGCCCTCAGAACAATCGTTACGGTGGTACACATAGTACAGGAAATTCCCTAGTGTGACACCAGAAATTTGGAGTGATTGTCTGGTATTTTTTCCCTAAATACTTCTCTGACATATCCAAGAAAAAAGAATCTAACAGAGAGACGGTCGAGATACAACGCTATAAGTATCTTATTTCCACTACATCGGGAAGTATGCCTTACATTTTGAACAATTGTGAAATCTTGTACTCGTAATTTAGTCTCCGTATACTACCTACGTGAGGTGGCGTGCGGACGCTTCGGGCTTCGCCCTCCGCTAGACCCTTAGACCGACCTCGGGACTTATGACTTTAAAAGAATTAACATAATGGCGGCCGTATTGACAAATAGCAAAAAGTAAATTTTGATTGTAAATTATTGTTAAACACCCATAGAGAACGCCACATGCCGATTTTCGGTGGAATTAGAGCAAATTTTTATCATCAGCTAAAAAAGTTTGTAAGGCAGCCATATTGAAAAATGACTAAAAGTAAATTTTAACCGCAAATTATTATAAACAGCCATAATTTCTATGTGTGAATTGATGAATTAGAGCAAATTTCTATCTGCCGCCATAAAGTTTCTATGGCAGCCATATTGAAAATTGGCGAAAATAAATTTTGACCGCAAATTATTATTAAACAACCATAAAGAACCCACATGTCGATTTTCAATCGAATTAGAGAAAATTTTCATCTGCCGCCAAAAAACACTTCTATGGCAGCCATATTGAAAAATGGCGATAAACTAATGTTGATCACAAATTATTATACATGACAACTTTCAAAGGGATTAGAACAATTTTTTTTCTACTGCGAACAAACGCTTGTATGGCGGCCATGTTTAAAATGGCGAAATACCAATTTCGAGCACAAATTATTATCTGGCACTTCTAGAGGAGTGTGGAGGCGAAAAAAAACTTTTGACCCCAAATTGTCATCAAGGACTCCGAAAGACCCCCGCATGCCAATTTTCAGCCGCATCGAAGCAAGTTTTTCTTCGGCCGCCATTTTGAAATCGCATCTTGAATTTTATTTAACCCAGGCAGTTGACCAGTGTTACCCTCTATGACATTCCTTACAGCACCTCCTACCTATCTCGAATAGTTTCCGTGATAGAAGACTTCGAAAGTAGTATGGCGGCCATCTTGTTTATTTGAATTTCGAACATTTTTTATTTTCTGCGGAAATTGACCAAGGCATATCTCATAAAAGTGCACAAAAATCGCTCCCCCCATGTATTATAGTTTTTGCAGGCCGTTGATCACTCGTTTACATTTTCCACATTCAGGTCTTCTCATATTTGATTCTTTGCCTTGAAGCCTGTCCGCGTACAACGGTATAAATATCTTTTTTCCACCATATAAGAAGTATGCGTTGTATTTTTCTAAGTGAGTCAGGATTTGTAGCTTTATATATATAATAATAGTTTACAACAAAAATTCAGAAGCTATACTAAAACTATTTTCGTGTTTCATATTTAAATATAACATATATAAGTTGCAGTTTTCCCTTTGCACATTTATTAGGTGGGGCCGTCGTTATGTCCTCTGCAAAGTGTTCTTTGACCTTTGTATATTTTTCTTTTGATACGTTCAAATAAACTTATGACTCGTTCACAATAGTATGTATAGTCAAAACAAAAATGTAACAAATAGTTTTTCATCACGAATCATTAACTTCTTCCAAGTTGGGGGACAAGAATCACCCCCGTTGTCGATTGAGAATTGCGAGGAAATGAGGCCGCCATTGTTTTGGCATTTAAAAACCGCTGCTTCTAAAGGTGAACATTGGAATAATTTTTTGAAGTGGAAGTATCTTTTGAATGGTTGGTTGGTTTTAAGTGTCACCGGTTTTTCATAAGAAAGAACGAATCGAATTATTAATAATAATTAGTTACCCTATCATGGTGACATTTCACATTCAAATATTTTCTATGCCCGTAAAGATATACATAAATTCATTAAAAAAGAAGATATCTGTAATATTAACCAAGCTAAGTCCAAACTCATGGTACCACGATTTCGTTTAACCAAGGTAAACGACTCTTTTGTGGAGAACTGTACACGTTTTTACAATGAGATTCCGGAGCATATATTAACATTACCATTTCCTAAGTTTAAAGTTTTAATTGCAAAGTCAAATTACAAAATTGTAGACTACGTGTTAGATAAAGATGTATGGAAAGACGACACGGCTCCAGAATCCACACAAATTTGATTCAAAGTGTATTTCATAGCATTTAAGTTTTTTTGAAAAGAGCAACTCCTAAAGTTTCTTGCTCGTTCTGCTCAGGGCAGCCAGCGTAGTGAACGCAGTAGTAGCTTAAATCTGACGTTTTCTAGTGTAAATTAATTTTAAGTACTTATGGAATAAATAAGTATTTGACATTGATCATATCGATGGTTCAAATGTCAATTAGAAAAGCTACATAATCTCAGTACAGAGTACTAAAAAAACCGACCTCAAAAGTACGTGGAATTACGTCTATTTGCTAAGTTTCATTGAAATATCCCCTAGTTCGCCACTATACAGGACTTGACACTGGAGATAATAAAAATAGGTTCTCACTACGACACTACTCAAAGTATATCGAGAGAAAAACGCCTTGAATTGGAGAAATAGCAAAATCAACTAAATGATTGTTAAAAGTAATTGCTCCTAAATTAAAGTTAGGCGCTATTTATAAAAATGAATCTTCATACGTAAACAGCCACCCTTTGAGATGGATGATTTTCTTCAAAATGAAATGGGACCACTATGAAAGTACCCCCTTTCCAACAAAAAAAGAATCATGAAAATCGGTTCACAAATACCGGAGTTATCGCGCAACA